GCAAACTTAAAAACCATCAGCCCTGTTCTCAATGTCTTTTCTTATGCAGGAACCAGCTCGACCTGGCACACCCAGCCGGGACAGATAAGGGCTGACTGATGGACCCGACCCACCATCAGGGAAGAGAAGGCAGAACTAAACTGCTCACTTAACGGCCATCCAGATGAAAGGGGAAGGTCTGGCTGGCCAGATGACTCTGCTTTCACTTCTCTGCCATGGAAAGCAGCCCCTTGGGTCAAATGCCCTGTCTGCACTACACTAATAGGGGAAATTTGGAGCTGCAGCTCCCCCTGCCCTCACTGGAATGCTTCACTAAGCTGGCAAAGGCAGAGTCACTGCCCACGAGGCACTTTTACAGCTGGGATAGCAAGAAGCCCACAGAATAGCTACAGGGGTTGTACTGCAGACCTGACCCTAAGGCAGGTTCCCCACAGCTCCAACTCTTTCCCTTCCTCCCCAGAGCCTGCGTGGGATGCGAACTCGGCTGCTGACTGCCAAAGCACAACGAGGCACTTAACACGTTTCTGTGGTTGTGGATTTTGCTGTGAAAACAAAACAAAAAAATCCCCTGGAAAGGGAAGGGGTAGAAGAGGAGGAGAACAAACAAAATCCCCGTGGCTGGTTGGCTTAGAGAGACCTGATTTTCCAACAGTCTCTATGCAAAGGGAAAACTTTGTTCTGAAAAGTGCTATCACAGGATTTTCCTCGGGGCACTTCAGCTGCTCAAGTGTGAGGTGTCAGAGCCTTCCAGCTGCTGGCCATGTTCAAACATCATCAATTGGTTCATATTTACACCTGTCTGAAGGCAAAGGGGCAAAAGGACATGGGACTGCTGTCACTCACAAAGTGCATCCCAATGGAGGTGGCCGCTGCAGTCTCAATTTCTGTGCCGATGTCTTCAATGAAGGGATATTCATTCTGGTCATGGACGATGATCTTGGCTCCTGTGGATGTCACCAGGAAGGGGTTGTAGTCTGCTTCATCTATATACAGAACAACCTGCAGTCCTGAAGAACAGAGGCAAGGCAGGAGCAGAGTTACACCAGAAGCCAGAGCCACTTTTCTGAGCAGGGAGAGCTGCCTTAAATAGAACTGTAACAGCCAAGCAGAGCTTTTACAATGCTAGACTGAGACCCTTGCAGCAAGCACCGTCCCTCTGTGGCCCCAAGGCCAGTGAACAAGCTGTGTCTCCGTAGAAGGTGGCTGAAACTTACTTTAAAAAGTTATATAACCGGGAAGGTGTAATTCCCAATGGAAAACATTAGTGATGCAATGATATTATCTTTGTATTCTCTGGCAATGGTTTGCACTAGTTCAAACAAGCATTTCCCCAATCTGCTTGCACATCTAGAGCCAACACATCAATCACTCTCCAGTGGGATCCAGTTCACTGAACCACTGTTATCTAACAGCAGCTCTCAGCCTCTGGTCGGTCTCTTACCGTACTCGCTGCCGCCCGTGGAGGTGCTCAGCACCGTCCCGTTTTCTCCGCTGTTGAAGGTGTAGCAATTCCCATGCAGGGGGTGATGGAAGCGAGTGAAGTGCCTGCAAGAAATCAAGTGTTGTCACATTGCCCTCGGCAGTTTTCACTGTCTGCGGGAGCAAGTCAGCAGATCTGGGCTCTGCTTTGGCAGAGATGTGGCAGGACAGGATGTTTCCCTTTTTTTGTTGGTGGTGATTTATTTTGCTGAAAAGTGTGGGTCCTTTTCCCAGTACCTTGAAACTACATGGAAATATGATCTGGTTTAATAGCACCAGGAACTGAAACGTTCAGGAGGTTGCTGTGTGGGAGTAGGGGCTGAGAGGGTGGGGAAGTGGATTTACAGCACTAGGAAGAAGGTGGTGGTGGAAGGGACACAGTCCTCTGTCATTCAGCAGCCAAGGGTCTAAAGGATCTTGGCTTTCAGAAGAGCTGCTGCACAGGGGAGCTGATTCAAACACATTCATGTCTGTCCTCTGAGCATCCCCTCCCACTCAAGCAAACGTCTTCATTCCAAGAAAAAACCTTTTGCCTTTGTGCAATTACAGACACATACAGAATGCCCTCAGCAGCGAGTGGTACAGGGCAGCTTGCTCCTGGCAGTAGGAAAACCACAAAGCCAGGTACAAGTGTAGTCTGAGCCCCATAACTGTACAGGGAAACTGCTCCTGCCGGCACACACAACTGCACTGCCACCAACATAAAGAGGGAGATTTGATTCTGCCAAACCCCACAGGTTTATATGAAATGTGGACAGCAGAACACGAGGGATGAAAGAGCATAATTAAAGCTGATGAAGACACGAATGTTGGCTTTCATTTGGAAATGGCTCCTGCTGGGATTCAACGAACACCAAATATTCAATTCCTACATACTATGTACTTGGAAATAAGCTGTTAAGCTGGAGGGATGTTCTGTGCACTGACCTTTTGTCACAAGATAGGCCATCAAAGAAACATGTCAGTAGAAGGTCATCAGCAGAATAACTCAATTTTTCTTTAGTCTCCAGGGGAATTTGTGCCATGATGTTCATGTAATGCAGCTTGTACCATTCCTGGATGGCATTAACACCAGAACTGAATGTATACAGTGCACACTCACTGCTGTTGTTTGCATCGCACTGATAATTACAAAGGGGAAAAAGTGTTTCAGGTGAAATGAAATCAAGTGTTCCACAAAGTATGGGTGACCCCCAGCAATGCACACACAGAGTCAGAGTGGCACCAAGGGGACAAGGGGGCAGCAAAGACCTTTCATTCAGGGCTAAATGATAGGATCAAATGTTTCAGGCCCAAAGGAAAGGTCACAGGAAGCACTAAGTCTATTTGGGCAGACTTCAGGAAGGTTCTCTTCCAGGGAGCTGAATCTGCAGGCAGCCACGGAGGCCTGGGCAGAAGAGCAGCTGGAGGGTTACTCACTATAAAGCCACCTAAGGAGGCAATAAAACTGGCCGAGGGACACCAACCCAAAACACCCCTTTGCTGCCCCACAGGGAACTGGCTGGCCAAGGAAGAGTGACACTCACCAGCTGAAAGCCGATGATATCATTTGAATCCCCGGAGTTCACGATGGATGAATCCTTGTGAAAGACACTGCCCTCTATTTTCCTCTTCTGGCCACTGTGAAAGTCAGTCGCCGTCTTAGAGAAGTCCTCAAACTTCAGCAGAGGGATCTGCTGGAAGAAGTCGCTCCCTGAGCTGTTCCACTCATCCACCGACCGGCGCACCTTGGATTTGCCCTCCGAAAATCCGTAGAAAGTCTCCAAAGCCTTTTTTGTCTCTTTGTCCAGCTCAGATAAATAGTCTTTCATGGCACTGTACCTGCATTGGAGACAACACGGTAAGAAGTGACATCCCATCTCACCTCACCCACTGCACTACGCATCCTATCACTTGGGACAAGACTGTGCCACAGACTCACACTGATCTCTCACCACCCCATCGATCCACATCAGAGCAGGCACAGCTCTGAGAAGGACCACAAAAACCAAAGCAGAGACTAAGCTACAGTGAGAGCGCTCACAGACTCCCAAGCTCCCTGGAGGTTGTGTCAGCAAGCCTGAGGAGGCAAAGCATGTGGGAACAAGGTTTCTGCCTTTGTGCCAAGAGGCACTGGGGGCTGGGCCACCCACAGGGCCAGGCAGGGCAGCTGGGAGCAGAAAAGAGTTGATGTAAAGTGTAATATGGCAGAAGAAAAAGTATTGCTGATGGATAATGTCAAAGCATCCTATGGGGTAAGGAAGAGGCAACGTAAGAGTGACAGACATTCCTTTTCCATTATTCAGGAGATGCCGTTGTTTGTAATCCTGAAACCTGGGTCCTGGAAAGATGGGGATTTGAAGAGAACCAGGGAGCCGAGCAGAAACTGTCTGGAGCTGAGACTAAATCGACTGAGTCCACTTGAGCAGTCAGGGTGCGAGTGTAACCCACACGTGCGGGAAGAGCATCGGCACAGAGGTGGATGTGGTACTCAAAAGTGCCACAGAGGGGAACCCGGGCAGGCACGACTGCGGAGCGCAGCCCAGAGGAGGTTTGGCCATGGGCTGAGAGGATGCCCAGCGGCGGGGCTCACCCTCCCCGGGACCCCGAGCTTACTTGTAGGGGTTGATGTTGCAGATGGTGACGGCGGGGAAGGGCAGCTTCTGGAACTGGACGGTGACGGACACCGAGGCGCTGTAGTAGTTCATGAGGAGCTCCGCGCATTGCCAGAGGATGAGCCCCACGGCGCTGAGGGTGAGCAGGATCCAGAGGAAGCGGCGCAGGCGGCCGCGGGACACCACGATGCGGCGGCAGCCGTGCGTGTTGGTGTTGAGGCAGTACCACCGCATCAGCTCGCTCAGCGTCGGCGCCTGCGGGCCCCGCACCGGCAGCGTCCGCTTGATCCGTGCCGTGATCTTCTTCCCGGGGGCCATGGCAGCTGCGGGACACGGACCGGGCCGCTGAGCGCGCGGGGGCAACGGGACTCCGGCCCCGCCAGCACCGACCCCGCGCTGACAGCGCCCCGCCCCGCTGCGAGCCCCCGAGGCAGCCCCCGCCCGCCGCGCCTCACCTCGGCCGCCCTCGGGGCCCGGTGGGGCCATGCTGCGCTCCCGGCCCCGGCGCCACTGCCGATGGGACGGCGGCCGCCCGCCGCGGCACCTACCCCGCGCGGCCCCGCCCCGCCGCGGCCCGGCCCTCCCCGCCACAGCCACCGCCGCCCCGCTCCGCGGCCGCGCAGCGCCGCCACACGGCGGGGGCCGGGGGCGCGGCGGGGCCGGGCGGGCAGCGCCGGGCAGGGCCCCGCAGCGAGCGGCAGCGGCCGACGGGACCCCGCGGGGAGGGGCAGTGCCGGGGGAGGGCCCCGCTCGCTCCCGCCCCGCCGCCGCGCCAGCAACAAAGATGGCGGCGGCGCGGCACCGCCAGCCCGCCCGCCGCTAAGGTGGCGGCGCGGTCACGTGAGGGCACGGCCCGCCCCGCCCCGCCCGCTGCATGGCGGCGCCGTGAGGCGGCGGAGCCGCGGCGGCTGCGGCCCGGCGGCGGGATGCGGCGGCCGGCGGGCTGAGCGCGGGGGGATGCGCGCTGCGCCGCGCAGCCATGTCGCGGGTGAGCGGCCCCGGCCCCGGCCCGGCCGGCAGCGCCAAGGAGAAGCGCTCCTTCAGCAAGCGGCTGTTCCGCGGGCGGGCGGCGGGCGGCGGCTCGGCCCCGTCCGCCTCGCCGACCCCGTCCGGGCGGTCGCTCGGCGGGTTCATGAGCCGCGTGCTGAAGACCCTCTCCACTCTCTCGCACTACAGCAGCGAGCCCGAGTCCCGCGGCCCGCACGCCCCGCGCCTGCCCCCGCCGCAGGCGGCCGGCGGCCTGGGCAGCTGCTTCCCGCCGGGCCCGCCGCGCAGCCCCGAGCCCCCGCCGCGGCCCGCCGGGGGCCCGGAGGCCGTGCCCGGCGTGGCGGGGCTGCGCAACCACGGCAACACCTGCTTCATGAACGCCATCCTGCAGTGCCTCAGCAACACCGAGCTCTTCGCCGAGTTCCTGGCGCTGGAGCAGTTCCGCGGGGGGCCGCCCCCCGCCGCCCCCAGCCCCGCCGCCGACGGACCGCCGGCCGCGCCCGGCGAGGTCACAGAGCAGCTGGCGCAGCTGGTGCGGGCGCTCTGGACGCTGGAGTACACCCCGCAGCACAGCCGCGACTTCAAGGTGAGCTTCCGTGCCCCGCGGGTGCTGAGCTGGGGGGCGGCCGCCTCGTCCCTTCGAGGCGGGAGGACCGGGTGCGCGGCAGCGGCCGGGCTCGAGTGCGCCATCCCTGCGGCGCCGGGACTGGGAGGCCGTTGGTGCCCCTTGCCCGGCCCGGGGCTGGGCTCCACGTGTGGTGCTGGGAGCCGGTGGTGACACCAGGGAACGTGTTTCCCCATCACACGACGCCGCAGGCTGCGCGGCTGCTCTGGTTGTTAGGGTGTGGTGGGGCCTTGTCGCTGGCCCAGTGGTTCATTGGGTGTGGGAAGCCCTCTGGAGAGCTGCTCCCTCTTCCCGGTATCCTTCCGGAGAAGCAGAGCCCGGCCCTGCACAGCCTGGCTGGGGCACAGTGTGGTGTGCCCATGCCATGGCAGTGGTGGCCGCTCTCACCGTCCCGGGGTGAGAGCAGCTGCTGCCCTCATTACTGAGGCGGTGTTTGTTAGGGGTGGCGTTGGACACTGGCCCACAGCTCTGCTGCTTTTTACTTGTGAAAGTGTCCATTTTGTTGTTTCATACCTTTGAAGTGCCGCTGTTAGAAATGAGGCAACTAATTGTTGTTGAGGCGCCAGAGCCGGGAGCTGCGAGTGCACGGGAGGAGGAGGAGGTGGCTGCTGCGAGGTCCTCACAGCACTTGGGAGTCTGGGCTGGTTTGGGGAGCGTGTTGCAGGACAGCACCATACCCACCTCCTGGCGCGAACTTGTTTCACACCGTGGTGGTCTCCCCTTGGAGCCCGCGCAGGAAGATGTGATGGAGACAGGACACAACGGCTTTTAGAGCGCTCTAGGCCTCGCTTCTCAAAACAGGCATTGTGAAGTTTCATTGTAACAGCTATTCCCTGGCGTATAAAACAGTTCATCCGTGTGAAGGTACGAGGGGGTAGGTGGTAGCTTCCAAACCATTAACTTAAAGACCTTTGCTTTAGGGGAATTCCTCCTGCAGAGTGAGCTGGAGAGGGGATGTGCAGATGCATGAAAATACCACAAGAACGTAGCTCACACGTGCTGGGGCTCTGCATTCAGGTCAGGTGGGGTGCAAACAGCAGGTAGGGACAGTGGGTATTGGAGTCTGCTCTTCCTCCGTGTCTCTGTTGGATGGTTGGGTGCCTGAGAGGCAACCCTGGGGTGCCAATAGGCTTTGGCACCCTCAGTCACTTGAGTTGACGCACAGCCGGCACCTCCCTTCTTTTCTCCCTTGTGTTTCCAGGCAGTTGCATCCACCCTTATGGTGGGGTATTCCCTGGAGAGCTGTTTGCCTTTGGAACAAAGGGACCTTGTGTGACGCTGGTGGTTTTGGGCGCTCCTTGCTGGAGGGGCACTTGGGCAGGCAATCCTCTCGGCTGCAGTTTCAGTCCTGGCAGCACCACGGGGCACTCACCTTTGCTGTAATCCCTCAGTGCTCTGGAGTTGCGCTGGCAGGAGGAGGAGCGGTGGATTTCTCCTCAGTAATAGCAGGAATAAAAGGTTGTGAAAGCAGAATTACCTTTTGCCAGTGTAGCTGATAAAATCCAAAGGGAAAGCAGACCACTTTCTAGGCCAGGACTCACTGTTCATGCAGGCCTGCCATAGAGGTGTTCAGATAAGAGTGACAGGAAGAAGAGAAGCAGGTCTGTACATTAAATTAAGGCCATGTTCCAAGGTTTTTCTTTTTCATAGTGGAACTTGGTTTGCCCGCTTGCAGGCATCACTAACAGTAAGCAAATGCTTTTCTACTTGTTGTGGATGTAGCTGGAGCCCATCAGCCTTCTCCCTGCCAGGTCCCTGGAGGTTGTTAAAAAGCATCTTGCTGCAGGGGATCTAGTCTCAGTAGGTCCTGGTCTGTGCTGCACAATGTCAACAGCCCCTGTCCTGCTCGGGAGGACTTTGTCATTATGTCAAGCACTCGACTCCTTATGGGGTCAATTACTTTTAATAGTAAATTAGCGCCTCTAAAGCCAGTTAAGTAGCCTGAACCTGCTATTAAATTCAATGTTCTTAATTAAATTTGTTTTCAGCAGCAGCTTTCACAGTTAATTTAAAGATGTAAATAACAGGCTCAGATTTGAGAGCGGTGAAAATTGGCGCTTTCACTCTGCAAACTGCTGCTTCTCCCCACAACAAGAGCATCCCCCCAGGCTTATTTTGGATAGATGGTGGAAGGCTCCCCACCTCCATTGCCCTCGTTATTTGTAAGGGTGAAAAGTGTTTTCAGAACAGTCCTTCTGCACTTTCACTCCAGCACAAGCAGCTATTGACAGTAGCAGTTATTTGGTAGTCAGAAAGCTCTTTAGCCAGCATGTGCAGAAATCCGTGTGCATTGGGCTGTTTTTTTCTTTTCCTTCCTCTTTTGTCACTGGATATACAGGGCAAAGACACTTTCTAATTCCTAAGTACTTATCTGCAGGCACTAAGCGTCTTTTAGGATAAAGGATAATACTTATCCTCTTGCTTGTTCTTATACCTATAGGCTTTTCTCCTGGGGCAGAGGAAATTTGTTACTAAGTGAGTGTCTGAGTCCTTGCGGACAGAGGCCTTTGAGGGGGTGAGGTTTGAGGTGCTCTTTACCCTCAGCTGATTTTCCTTGGTAGTATTTTGTGCCTTTTTAGGTTGGTCTCCAAGAGATAAGCCATCCCACAGGTTCATGAATCACATAGTGCTGCTGTTGCTGCTGCTGGGAATGAGGAAAGGGCAGTTCAAACGAGTGGTTTCGATAAAATGGTTTGTCTTGTAATGGCAGGGCTGAGAGCGAGCTAATGCACGGGGAGGGGAGGTGAAGTGCTCACTCAGGCAGCAGCCAGCACACCATCTCCGGTCAGATCCACGTGAAACCAAAGGATCTCTGCCAGTGTTTGTTTTAAACCTGGTGTTGGAAGAGGTTAGGGAAGGAGTGGAGTGGGATGGGGAGGTTTGGATCCTTGAGAAGCAGGGCTGGGAGCAGAGGGAGCCTGGCAGGACAGCGCAGGAGCCCCATGGTGGAGGTGATGGATGGTGGTTTATATCTCGGCTTTGGGTGACTTTCCTGTTGGTCCTGTGCTCCTTTGCAGTTTGTTTTAACAATCCTTTCAATTGCTCAGTGGGTTTTATTTTCCTGCCCAAACAAAGCTGCTGCTTTCATAACAAGGGCCAATATTGCAGCTTGTGCTTCCTCTTTCCCCTTTGTGATGGGGTGACAATGGTGATAAACATCTATTGTATGAGCGGTAGCTGTGCTTTGGGCTTGTTTTTTTCCAGGGAGCTGTCCCGCTCTGCCTGCGAAGCTCCCGGGAGTGTCAGACAGTGAGGACAGAGTGTCCTTTGTCACCGGGAGCTGCTCTGGGGGTCTGGAGGTGACAGAGGGGGTCTGGGGAGAGAAAGGGTTTTATTTCAACTAATTGGGCTTGGAAAGCTCTGTGTACTTACCCAGCTCCTGCGGGCCTTTCCCTGCCTTGGAGCGCTGCTCTCCTGGGGTGATGAGGCTGTTTGCTGTTTTGAGGCTTTCTTGCAGCGCAGCCAGTTGCACACTGAAGCATGTCAACGTTTAACAAGACCCTTTGTGTGCTACAACTGTTGATGGCATTTTTTTGTCCTGCAAGATGAAGAGTGCCTTTTTTTTGTGACCCACAGTGTATAGAGCAAATACAGCAAAACCAAAACAACCGATTGAGTCGGATTATCAGAATTACATCTGAACCCAGAATGAATCCTGTCGGTAGAGCAGCAATTACTGTGCCAGGTTCACGATTGTGCCAGGCTTCCAGCTTTATTTATTTATATTTAAACCCTTGTTTAGTGTAGGGTTTCACAGTAGCTGTGTGTAACTCTTCCAGTTTGAAGGTGCTGGTGTGTTGGAAATGCACTAAGAGCAAACACTGCACTTGGGACAAGCAGTCTGTTGGCTGAGTTAGTCACTTTGTGAATTAATAAATAACTCCTGCATTATGGGGGAACTCCAAAGTGTTGACGTGCTCAGTGTCTGTGCCCTCTGTTGTAGCTTAAATGACAGCAGTTCTCAGTGTGGGGCTGCTTGATGCGATTTGGGTGTTGGAAGCTTTTGGTCTTGCTCCTGGAGCTTTGACCACGAGCTCTTCCACTTGCTAGAGCTCTCATGCTTTGCTAATGGGGTCAGTTATAAGTGAAATGGGATCCCCCAGGTCATATTTATTATCTTGCTTTCTGCCTAGCACAGCAATCAGTGATTTTATTCTGGGCAGTTAACTGCTTATTCCTAAAATACTTCAGTGGAGAGCAGACAATCCTCCCATTACATAGAGATGGAGGACTGGGACAGGAAAGAAGTGTGAGACCCTTCGCCCTTCCCTCCTGGTCCCTTGTCTCTTGGTTCTGGTGTTTCAGTTCCTGTGTTCATCTAAAAGGGCTTTGAGTGGGGCTGGGTAATGTGGGATCTTGAAGTGCTTGTTCCAGTTCAGTCCAGGTGCTCCCAGTGGAGGTGTTGTGATGGGGTGGCTTGTCCTAGGGCTGCTCTGCGGTTTGGAAGTGACACACTTCACTTGAAACAAGAAGTGAGTTACAACTTTTCTACATCATTGTGACGCTCCTTGTCATCATGGGAATGTGCTTCTTCAGCGGGATCACAAAGGTCTTGGGCAGCCTTTCCACATCAGGCTTTTTTAATGTTAATGATCAATGAAATGCAAGTCCATTTTTGGGGGGGGGGTTGGGTATTTTTGCCTACTTTTTTCCTGGTGTTTTTTTACAATCTCTTCACCGCCGGTGGCTGCACAGAGAAGCAAGCACTGTGTGTGCATACAGCAGCCCTGAAAGGTGTCATCTTGACAGACTTTGCCCTCTCTATGTGCTGAAGAAAGGTGGTTCATCAGGATTAACTGAGGCTTCACCTGGGAGGGTGAGAGTAGCTGCCAGCATGAGATGGGTGTCAGGCAGGGGCTGGTGGGGTGATGCTGCTTGTCCGGGCTTGTTAAAGGTGCTGGAGGATGCCCTGTGGTCCTGGCACACCGTGCTCTGCCTGCTGCTCTTGGCTTTACTTTCTGAAGTGCAGCAATAAAAGCTGTGCTTTCACCCCCCTGCAGCAGGCAGGGCCCAGCTCTTGGTAGCTGTTCTGGCTTCCCAAGGAGCTGCCATTATCTCCCATGGGATTCTGCCTCCAGAGCCCCAGCATCTCTGGGATGCCCCATGGATAAAAGGAGGAGTGCTGTGTCCTGCACTGGCTGCTTCGACAGAGCTGCTGCCTTCAGAACTCCCTTCTTTGAGCTGTGGTATTGCTCAGCCAGAGGAGATCTCTTCTGTCCCTGGCTGGACCAGTGCCTTGTCCTCAGTGCTGGGCAGGAGGTAGGTGGGTGGACACAGGGCTGGTGCTGGCCTTGGCCTTGTCCCCATCCCCGGCCTGGGGGAGGACAGAAGATCTGAACTGTTTCCTGGGTGTTGCTTTCCCCAGAAAACAGCATCTCCCTTCAGAGAGGGGAAGTTGCTGTTTGTGTGTGTGAGCACAGGGAGTAACTTAGATAAATGCTCCTCGTGAGGTGTCTGCAGCAGACGTTGCCCAAACACAGAACTGTGCCTGTGGGTTTAAGAAAGAAAAATAATAACCTGGTTGAGCAGAACTTGATGGTGCTCGGTGGAAGATGAAGAATAGCCTTTCTTTCCTGCTCACATGTGGCATTGTGTCAGGTCTCTAATGAGCTGGCTTCATCCGCTCATGTACAAAAACCTCCCCACAGCTGCTTCCTACCAGAGGCACGCTGCAAAACAGCACACTGACATTATTCCCTGAGTTGTCTTTGTAATCTGGAACAATAACAGCAGCAGAGGAGAGGCCAGAGGTTCAGCTGTGCTTGGATTTATTTATTGCATCTATTCAGAGCAACGGATGAATGATTATCAAACTTCCAGCGGCTGATAAATATGATAATGCGTCTTTGCTGTAAATCTGCTTTACAGACAGGCAGGGACTTGTGTGGTTGTTGGGTGCTTGCATTAGGGGGTAGGGTAAGTGTGTGCAATCAATAGGAAATGATGATTTTCCCCCTGTTGTCTCGACTGGTGGTGCCACTTCCATTCAGGGTGCCTGTGTGCCGGCTCTCACACATCCTTCTGCATGCTCTTCAGGGCTGAGCTGAGGGAGGGGGCTGGAGGTGCCTGTCTGTGTGCTCCTGGAAGGGGATGGGAGGGGGGGTCAGTATTCATTGCTGGAGCCTCACATCTGAAACAGCTGCACCGAAGTTGTTCCTGACCCGTTTGTAGTACCTCTGGCAGTGGACGGGGTCTGGTCAGATTTGCCACCTACACTTCCAGCAGAGCCAGATTAGGGGCAGAGGATTAAAGGCTACGGGGGGGGGGGGGTGGGTGGTAAATGTGGTGGGTTTAATGTGGGTTGATGTGTTTTTTAAACCAATTGCTTCTTAACTCTGTATCTGCAGCCTGTTTTGGTAGCAATGGGACCCCATATGCGCTCACAGAGCCCAAAGCGAGGGGCTGGCTGGGGAGGGAAGCCGTGGGGCTGTTTAGGTGCAGAGGCAGGCAGTTGAGCGGGGGCTGCGCTTTGAGTTCCTGCTGTACTTCTCAGACTGTTAAACCGGTTGATTCAGCTCCTTTATCTCTTGCCCTGGTCCGTGCTCCCCAGCACTGCCTGTTCCACACTGTGTGTCTGCTGCTCCTCCTTTGCACCTCGCCAGCCTCGCAGGGCTCTGCGCTCCCAGCAGCTCGGAGTGCACATTCCATAGAGCAGCAGATGCAGAGGTTTAAGCACTAACAAACCCGCTTGCAGCGGCTGTGATAGGCAGTGTGAGTGACACTGGGAACACACTGCTGCTGCTGGAGTGGTTGTTGTAACGGAGCCTCTTGTGAGGGAATCGCATCTGATATTTTGTAGTGCTTCCTGAACCACTTCCAAGATGTTGCGATCTCTCTCCACAGGCAGCTCTTTCTTTATTCTGGGTCCACTCAGGACGCAGGAGTCTTGAAATCAGAGCAGTTATCCTGGAGATGGGAATGACACAGATACAGGCACATGGTTGATGTGAATCCCTGGGGTTTGCTGTGCTCTGGGGTGTTCAGCTTGTGCAGCTCAGTGTAGGATGTCACATCACCAGGAGCACGCGTCAGTAAAAGGCAGTGAAGGTCTAGGCTGGAGTTATGTGCTGGTGACACAGAGGGAGATGATATAAGGGACACTCACCTGGGTGCCTGAGGTGCTTACTGGTGTATGTTTCCATACAGACCCCATAATGCCCCCTTTTTTACTGCAAATATGAGATTCTCCTCTTCCTAGCAACACTAAAGCCCCTTTTATCTTCAACTCTGTCTAGCCTAGGACTTGCAGTGTGGTGATAGCACCTCCTGGCTAACGTCACCAAGCTAGAAGGACAAGCTAGATCAGGTAAGGCAGCTGCTGTCAGGAGGGCTCGTGCACACGTGAGGAGAGCGATTATGTCTGTTTTCCCTTGTTTTGCTGCCTTGAGGCAGGTGCACAGATTACAGAGGACAGGCACTATATGTTTATCAGTCCTTTCCTGTCTTTTTCTCCACCCCCTGCTTCTGGTGACCCCATTTTCTAGAGGGATAAAGCGAGCAGCCCAGCCTCATTTCTCAAAGCTGTTGCAAAGTCTGATTAGAGGAGTGGAGGAGCTGGGGCTCCGTGTGTGTGATCCTGCCTGGCCCCTCGGCGCTCCTGGCTTGTGTGCCAGTACAGTACACTGATAGGGTTGGGGCTCAGTTCTGAGGGGTTGAGCACCAAGTTTGCTATGAATGCTTCTGTTTACCGATGGTGCAGTTCCTCCACAACCACTGCCCTCACCCCTCTGCTCTGTACTGAGGCTGCTGGCAGTTTCCCTGCCCAGCAAGGCACCGGGTGCTGCTGTAGCTCCAGTTGGGCAGAGGCTTGACACGCAGTGGTAGGTCCTGTCCCATGCCTGGCTGGTGTGGGACAGCAGTGTCCCTCCAGAGCTGTGTCTCTCTGGCTCTAAGTGTGCTGCCAGCCCTGCCTCCGCGGTGGTGCGGGCTCGGTGGAGGGCAGTGCTCACTGCTGCTCTCCCGCTGTACCCATCTCCTCCCTCTGCAGAACATTGTGTCCAAGAACGCCATGCAGTACCGCGGGAACGCCCAGCACGACGCGCAGGAGTTCCTGCTGTGGCTCCTCGACAGAGTCCACGAGGATCTGAACAACGTGGTGAACTACAGTGGGATGCCTCCGCTCAAGGTGAGGGGTTTCGCTGGGAGCCAGCACGGGACATTGGCTCTAACTTTGGATACAGGCTTCCTTTTTCAATTCCATCTCCCTGCTGGCTTCTCAACTCTTATAGTTTGGGGGGAGCAAAAGTTTGGGTGAAACCACTGTTTGCTTCATTAACCCCTGGCGGGTGCTCCCCAGTACAATCACTTGGGAAGGGTCCCATGCTGCTCCACAAGAGCTGGGAGGCACCACGGGCAGGAGCTGCCAGAGCTGCCCTGCTGCGAGGTCCCTGCTCACCCCAGGGCTGCCCTAAGCTACCTCACACTGTGTAACCCCCGTGTGAGCACAGCACACTCCTTAGTTGAACGTTTGGTGGCACTTTTTGGGTAGCTTTGGGCAGGAAGGGCACAGATGTGCCCAGGGGTGCTGGAGCCATCCAGCACTCCACGCCTGGCAGTGCTTCTAGGGTTTATCCTTCTCTTTTAGCCGCCCCTGGAGGATGATGTGCTGCTCGAGGGACCAGCCTTTCCAATCAGCAGTACTTTCGTGCAGGAACTCTTTCAAGCCCAGTACAGGTATGATACTTAGTACATTTTGAGGCATTAAGGCATGTATTGGTGACCCCAGTACGATTCTGCCCTGACACTAGATCCCCCAGTGCAGTTGCGACTGTTGTCACTGTTGTTTGTGAATTCCTGAATGAAATCTGAGCTAAGATCTTGCTCCAGAGGGGAGAGAGAATTTCCTTACTTCAAATTTGGGATATCCTGTGAAAATCTACAGCATGTGCCACTTCTTCACCTGCCCCAGTGCATCCTGAAAGCAAGTCAGAACTAATAGAAGAGAACAGCCTGACTTCAGTGTTCCTTGTATCTGTGGTGCTCTCAAAATTGGAATTGCAGGGCTGTCTCCCCAGCATTTGCCAGGGATTCCTTTGTGAAGGAGAAAACTTAAACCTGGTATAAAAACACAAAGCCAGTGTAAAGTGCAGGTTAATGCTGGATGTGAGAGGTGTTTTTCCCTTCAGAGGAAGAGGTCTGTACACGTGTGGTGCTCGTGCTGCCATCTCCCTCCCTTCACTTCACCTCTTTTCAAAGCCAAAACCTTTCCCGGCCTTCCATGCTGGGGCAACTGGTGGTGCATTGTTAATTTTGCAGTGCTGTTTGTTAAAAGGCTGTGAGTTGGGGGGAAGTCTTTCCTGGCAAACCCTGTAATGGACTTGGAACCTAATTAATCAAAAAGGACCTAGGAACCAGCAGCCCATCACTTACAGCAGCTCTGTCTGTGAAGAGTGCTTTGTGGAGAGGAGGAAGAGTAGAGAGGGGCAGCCAGGTTGGCATGGGAAGGCTGTTGCTTGTGCTTTGGTGATTTATCTGTTCGGATGAAATGAGGAATAACTCTGCCCTGTTACTGATATTTGCACCAGGTCCTCTCTGACGTGCCCTCATTGCCAGAAGCAGAGCAACACCTTTGACCCTTTCCTCTGCATCTCTCTGCCAATTCCTTTGCCTCATACACGGTATGTAACTATCGAGTTGGCTGTTTCCCATGCACATAGGGGTGTTTAATTTTCTACTGAAGGAAGAGAGGTGTCAGCAAAAATCTCTGCAGTAAGTCTTTAAAAAAGATGGATAGGACCATATGGGGCTTTAATTCCTTAGCTTTGCAGGTGAATTGGAAAATTAAGCCTCCTACTTGTTTCAGAATGGTCCTCCCCCCCTCCCCCTTAGCTTCCTATAGAATTAATTTTGGGGAGAAAAAAATCTTTGATTCCCGTAACCAAACATTCTGCTTTTGACTTTATTTATAGCATTTTAAAATTAAGAAGGGGAAAAGGATGAAACACTTTTCTTTAACTTTCCTTGGAACAGCCTCACTGATGACTCCAGTGTCAAAAAGTGAAGTGAAAAGTTTTCCTGCAAAGTGCTTATGCTCTTTTTGCAAGGCAGCAGTTGCTGGTAAAGGAAAAAGCTTCAGGGAGGGGAAAAAAATTCCAGATAAGTTCAGAGCGAAGATAAAGATGCCGAGCAAAGCTGCAGGGTGTGAGTGCCTCCCTGCTCTCCGCAGGCCGCTCTACGTGACCGTGGTGTACCAGGGCAAGTGCTCTCACTGCATGCGCATTGGTGTGGCTGTGCCAGTGGTGGGGACGGTGGCCAGGCTGCGGGAAGCTGTGTCCTCAGAAACCAAGATACCAACAGAACAGGTAACGGGCTGGGCCTGTCACTGGGTGCCCTCCCTTCAACAGGAGGGAGGGAAGGGCTTTTGTACCACGTTGGGGATGTAGGAATTGAAATTCCATCCGTGAAGCAGGGTGGTGGTAACCTGGATCATGCTTTTCCCTGTACATGGGTTTCTTGAAACCTAGTGACGTTGGGATTGCCAGCACTCCACGTCAGTGGAGTGTGCAGACATTCCTGATCACACGGGTATTCATGCATGCTGTCAGTGAGGGAACTGTTGGGCATCTATGGTGAATTCCTCTGTAGGAAGAGCTTCAGGAAAGCTATCTGATCCCACTGAAAAAACCTCTCCATGTGCTGCCCTTACCCCAGCTTCTCATTTGTGTCAGTCTTTTTCCCTGTTCCTTGTTCCTGGCCGGTGCCAGGAAGTTTTGAGGAGTGCCATCCCTTAGCAGGGATGGGGCAGCTCAGTTGAACCAGGCAGGGGTGGTTTGATGGTTCTGGTTTGCTTCTGCTGGCTCTAGATTGTGCTGACAGAGATGTACTATGATGGGTTTCACCGTTCCTTCTGCGACACTGATGACCTGGACACCATTCATGAAAGCGACTGCATTTTTGCCTTTGAGACCCCAGAGATATTTAGGCCTGAGGGTATCCTCAGTCAGAGAGGTAAGTCCATAGCTCTGTTTGATGCTTGCCTCAGGTGTGCGTGAGAGAGGCTTGTTTTGGAAAATGTTATACTTGAGAATAGAAGCCCCACAAGTAGTTGATGTTCTGGTGTATTGATTTCATCTCTTTGTCCAGCTTCATTCCAGCGGACTTCATGGTGTTGTCAGCTGGGAGGTTATCAAGAAGCCATGTACATTCCTTTCTACGGCTTCCCAGGCTGATTCTGCATGCCAGGCTGCTTTAATGTGAAATCTGTTGTCAGGCTTAATTTAAAGACCTGCTAGAGACCAGCTGAAGCCATTGAGTTTGTGTTATTTAAAATCAGATTGCCAGTGATGAATAAACAGGCTCAGGAATGAGCAAACACTTTCTCTTTCAAAGCTCAGAAGCCTCAGCTTCTCTGCATCCCCTTCTGAAAGGGAGTAATTGCATCCTGGGTGGATGGAGCATAATCAAAGGCAAATTTTATTATTGGAAATCATAAGCAGGGTCTGTGTCACTTCAGCTTTTCTTACAGGCAAAGCCGTGAGCACTTGTACATACAAAGTGCTGTGGAAAGTCACTTTGGTGAGCACTGGCATTCAGTTTCTTTCTGTAAAGAGTCACAGTAAAAAGTAATTGCTCTTTGAAGCCTTCATGCAAGTGGCAAAAGTGGTCTTGATCCCATACTGACCTGTTCCTCTGCAGCCCAGGAAGGGTTTCCTGAGGGGGGCATCAGAACACTAAAGGCATATGACATAAACGTTTCCTTCCCCCTCATTTTTCAGGAATACATGTGAACAATAACCTGAATAACTTGAAATGCGGCACTGAACACTCCCGAACAGTATCTTACACTCAAGGAGCAGCAAAGTCTGGAAAACTGGAGCAGTCCTCTCCTAAACCAGCAGCAAATGACAAGATTGTCTTGCTGGTGTGTAACCGAGCGTGCACTGGGCAGCAGAGCAAAAGGTGAGTGGCTGCTTCACTTAGAGCTGCTCTTCTGGCTGCATCCTTAGTTGACCTGGGGCTTACTCACCATGTGGTGAAAACACAAGGTGAAGGAGCAGCAGCTTGCATTCCTAGCTTGCATTAGGTGCTGAAGAGCATGTTGATGAAAAACCATTCATGAATGCTGCAAAATATTCCTTATTTTGGTGAACTTCAAATAGTCCTGTGTTAATGGGAAGTGGTGAGTGCAGAGCAGCTGGAAGCTGTGCCACCTCTCTGTAAGCTGTCTGCTTCCAGAGAGCAGCAAGCACGTCTGACCATATCTGCGATGTGTGGAAGTTTCTAATTGGGAGTCAAATGGGGTGGGGAGTGAGATATGACCATGGCAAAGGCATTTGTACCAACAGCAGACTTGGAACTGTCTCAGCTGCTCAAGTTTGCTTCACAAAACATTATCCCAGGCAGGTCACAAAGCTCTGCAGCTTGAACCTGCTTGAGCAGGGAGCAGGACTGCCTGTTAGAAGGGGCCCTCTGCATGGGCAGCTGTGACAGCGTTATCCCAAAGTTAAGTGCCTCTTCCCTGGAGAGAAGTCTTCATCCGAAGAGTGCCGAGTGAGGAGAGTGGGGGTCTGGGGGTTGATTGCTGAACAGAGTAGTCCTTTATTTCCTGCCTCAACTGCTTCTCCTTCCCATAGGTTTGGCTTGCCCTTTGTGTTGCATTTGGAAAAAACAATTGCTTGGGATATTCTGCAGAAGGAAATCCTGGAGAAGATGCAGTATTTCCTGCGGCCTGCAGCCTGCCTGCAGGTAAGGCAAATCTCTCTGGTTGAGACTTCCAGCTCTGTGATGGGGACTGACGGGGTGGAAGCCAGTTACCTGCAGTGATGATCATGCTGCACACACCAAACTGAGAGCTTCCCAATACTTCTTTATGCAATGATATCCAGATCTGGTATTCCTCTTTGGTGCTTTGTAAAAGGGACAAGTAAGATTAGACTGATCGGGGAAGAAATTGCTTCACCTTATCTTCAAGAAATATTTGAGAGGTTAGTGCTGGTGTCTGCACTGGAATCCACTGGTTGCTGGTGTTTGCCTTAAAAGCTGAAACATTTACTTAGCGATGGTGCTTTTCTGATGAGAACCTGGTGTCTGCTCAGGTCCCTATAGAGGAGCTGTTGGGTACAAAGCCTCTCTTGCTGCACCTCACCCCTCTGATAGCTGCTTAGGTATAACTGAGTCCTTGTGAATTTGCTTTCTCGCATAAAACACATTTTCTAGGACAAAGTACACCTCAGCCAGGATGAGAGCAGGTTTGCACTTGGGTAAACTGGGTTTGAGCCATTGAGATGACTTCTACTCCTTGTTGCAGGTTTGCCCATTCAGCTTGCGAGTGGTTAGTGTTGTGGGCATAACGTACTTGCTACCTCAGGAGGAGCGACCCCTCTGCCACCCAACGGTGGAAAGGTGAGCTCATTCAGGGGTGGGGAGAGGTTTGTCAGCTGGGGACTCCATGTGTAGCCATGCAGGAAGGGGTGGTGTTGGTGTGGATGTGTGGAATGGACTTCACAGGCTGTAGGAGCAAGGAAGCGATTGAGTGTCCTCAAGAAGCTGTGTGAGGATTCTCAGTGGTGGCTGTGATGCCATCTGGAGTCTCCTCTTCCGAATGGAGAGCACAATGGAAGTTTTACTCCAACCATTTTACTTCTTTGTAGCATCTGTTATTCTTTAGAAATCTGTGGATGTCTGTGCTGTAAATAAGTGTCTGTTTGTTCCCAGCACCAAAGTACTGGGTAATGCAGTTTGCCAGCTCTGCCGTGTTCTTTGTTATGTGAATTCCTTGTACTCCTTTGCAAACATGAGCTGTGTGGGAGTGGAGGAAAGGTGGGGGGCAGGTGGAGAGAAGTTGTACATGTAAAAGATAAAGTAGACTTGAGACTGAAAGATGGTCTAACTTCTGTCTGCTCCTCTCTGCAGGGCATTGAAGTCATGTGGACAGGGGGGAACTGCTCATGTGAAATTAGTGGTAGAATGGGACAAAGAAACTAAAGATTAGTAAGTATAAAGTAGAAATCCTTGAAGCATGTTCACCTCAAGAGTGATGCTGTGTGGCTGTGTGAATTATGCACCCTTCAGCAAACAGGAGACCCCTCAAGCTTCACCCCATGGTCATAGACTTGGGGCTGTTGGGTGGATGTGTGGGTAAATGTGTTGTTTCCCTGATGCAGCTTGTTTGTGAACACTGAAGAGGAATATATTCCAGACTCTGACAGTGTCCGCCAGCAGAGAGAGCTTCATCACCAACCTCAGACCTGCACTTTATCTCAGTGTTTCCAACTGTACACCAAAGAGGAACAGGTAGGGGCAACACAGGACTCGGGAGGCCTGGCTTGTCCACGTGCTGCACCAGCTCCCACGCTCAGCACAGGAGCTGTTTTCTGCAAACACTGATTTGTTGAGACAAAGAACAGTTCTGTAACACAACAGTAGTTACCAGCCCTGCTAACAGAGATTCTCTGCAGTAAGGAGGAAGCTGTGGGAGGTGCTGTTTCTGGGGGTTTTGCCCAAATGTTGATAGGAGAACTCACTCCTCTGTTCTGCAGTTTCCTCCCTGTGAACCAGCGATGTCTTTTTCTGGCACACATGATAAAGGGTTAGAACAGTGTGACTTCTCCTGGGAATTTACTGCTCTGTCTTGGAGCAGCTGTGTGTTTCCAAGCCTGATCAGGCCTGGGGTGGGCTCAGGTAAAACCCACTGAGTGGGACCCCAACCACTGCACACAGTGCAGTGCCCACTGAGCTCATTTCTCCAGGAGTGTGGCTGCTCTCCTCCTCTAGCTGGAGGAGCTGCTCATGGTGAGAGGAGGTTGATGTGACAGGAGCAGACTGCAGGTGGGTCTGATCTGGCCCTTGCCTGGAGCACTGCATGATCTACATCTCGTTGCCAGAGGTCTGATCTGCTGTAAAAGGGGACGGTCCTACAGGTGAACCCATGACTGAGCTTTAATTTGGAGTCTGTCTTGCCTCCTCTTTCAGAAGTGAGGGAAAAGATGTTTGACAGCCTAAAGCTGCCTTAGACTGTGAAAACTAAAACCCACTCCTTCCTCTTCCATGTAGCTTGCCCCAGATGACGCATGGCGATGCCCACACTGCAAGCAACTGCAGCAGGGTAGCATCACACTGAGCCTCTGGACCTTACCGGATGTTCTCATCATACATCTCAAAAGGTTTCGACAGGTAAGGATGCCTCGAGGCCTGCTGCTCAGCCAGGGGGGACCTGGCTACACTACCTCTTCTGCCCTGGGTATTCCTGTCCTGGATTTCTGTTTCCTCCAGGCATGGTGGCCTTCCTGCCACTGCAGTTCATGCCCTTCTGTTTACACAGGAAGGAGACCGAAGGATGAAACTTCAGAACATGGTTAAGTTCCCCCTGAATGGTTTGGACATGACTCCTCACGTTGTGAAACGCAGCCAGAGCAGCTGGAGTTTGCCATCTCACTGGTCACCCTGGAGGAGGCCCTATGGTCTTGGGAGGGATCCTGAGGACTATATCTATGACCTGTATGCTGTCTGCAATCATCATGGCACCATGCAGGGGGGACACTATACAGGCAAGTACCTGGCATGTCATGTGTGGTGGACCCTTTCAGGAAGAAAACTCTTACATTGACATTTGAGTGTCTGTAACTTCCTCATCTTTCTTGGCAAAAGGACCTAACCCAACTGATAAGGGCTGGCTGTGTAATACTGCAGGGGTGACTTTTATGACATATGAGGAATGGAATAATGCCTGTTAACCCCAAATCTTGTACTGTATGTTTCTTTCTCAGCTCCTTTTTTTCCTTCAGAATAATGTAACTGGCCTTTCATGCTTCAGAAATGCTCCTGGCCACTCAGAGCAGAACTTGCATAGTTGCAACAGGCTGTTAGACCCAGGAAGTGTTTGCACATTGGCTGTGTGCACAGCCAGTTTATGAACTCCTCTGAGCCTGTTCCAACAGCTCCGAGAGCAGCCAGAGATAGAGAGAGTTGCTTGGTGGGTCTTAGGATTTGTGTGACTCCACACAGTAGCCCCAGAATGTGCGTGTCCAGTTTTCCCTTGGTTTTTGTCTGTAATGGTGGTCTGTTCTGAGCAGTCATGCTGGACAAAGAAAATCCTGGAATGGGAGCTGATCAGTCAGACTGGAAGAGGATGTGTTGCATGAATAAATCTGTTTCTTTCATTCCCCTCCAACTCCGTCATAGCAGATAGGGTCAAGTATAAGTTACCAGACAGGAAACCTGACAGTAGCAGGAGTGAGGAAGGTCTAAGAGTCATGTTTTTCCTCTCAGCATATTGCAAAAATTCGGTTGATGGTCAGTGGTACTGCTTTGATGACAGTGATGTTCAGCAACTTCCTGAAAATGAAGTCTGCAAGCAAACAGCTTACATTCTTTTCTACCAGAGGCGCACAGCAATCCCATCCTGGTCTGCCAACAGCTCTGTGGCAGGTAAGCCCTGCAGGCACTGTCAGGGAGTGGTGGTGGTTTGTCTTTCATGGACAGTTTGTTCTTCTGAAGGATTTTCCGCCCGGTTTAAGCCCCTGCTCTCTGTCCCAGAACTCGGTGAGGCTTCTCTGAGCTTGCTGCTGTGCAGAGGGGCCACAGGAAGCTCCCACCTCTTCTGTTGAGGGTAGTTGTGTCAAAGGGGCTGTGGAGATGGGGAACCCCCCTCTACCCCATTGGCAATGCTGCTCAGAGCTGCCCTTGTCAAAACCAGTACATGAAATGGGACAGTCACTTTCTCTCCAGCAGAGCTGCTGGTCTGTGGTGGGCAGCAGCTGAATCCTGGGGGAGGTGGGAGTGGATGCAGATGTCTTTGGAAAGGAAAGGATTTGCACTGTGTTTTTGTGGCAGCTCCGGAACTGCACCTCTGCCTGCCTGCTGTTGCACTGCTGCTGTTGATTCACAGTGTACTGGGCTGGGTGCCATTCTGTCTTTCACTTATGGCCACACTATTTCATGCAAGCGGGGACTTGCTCTCAGCAGTGTCTGGATGCTGTGGCTGTGTCAACCGGCTCCAGACTCCGGATGCCTGTTGAAGCCGGTGCCATGTGGTACGTACCCAGCTCTGTGTCCTTCCAGTGTTTCCCATGTTCTGGTCTGATGCCCGTGCCTGGTTCCTTGCAGGCTCCACAAGCTCCTCGCTCTGTGAGCACTGGGTCAGCCGCCTGCCCGGCAGCAAGCAGCCCAGCATCGCTTCGGCAGCCTCCTCGCGGCGCACATCCCTGGCTTCGCTCTCGGAATCAGTAGAGCTGACTGGGGAAAGGAGTGAAGATGATGGTGTGTATCAGCACTGCAGTGCATGGGGGCTACTGGGCCGCTGTTTCTGCTGCAAGATCCCTGTTAAAATAGCTGCAAAATACGTAGTTTGAGGGACAGTTACTCTAGCAGCTGGGGAGGCAGGCACTGTGGGTTCTGGCAGATGGATTCTGGCACAGGTGAGCTTTTCTCTGGTATAAAAGGGTGGAGAAGAGCAGGACAGAACCTTAAGGAGCCTTTCAAAGAAAGGAAATGCTGTCAACTAAACCTCTCAAGGACTTGTGCTTGTGTTTTGTAGACAGATACATGCACTTCTGGGATCATAATCTTAGTTTTGATTTGAGTTTGAATTGATGGCTAGTTTCAAGAACTTCCAAGGTACAAAACCTGTGTTTGTTCTCCTGCTGCTCATGGATGAGAGGAAAACCTGGGGTTTTAGTTACAGATTGCCGGTAGCAAATAACTGTTGTTGAACTCCTTATTCAGCTTTCATGCAAGAAGCTGTGGCTGCAGCAGGCACGGGGAGGCAAGCAGCGTGGTGTAGGTGGGCTGTTGGACACAGGGAGCGGTGTCTGTGGATGGCTGGGACAGGCAGGGCCCAGCTTTCGCACTGAGGGGTCTCTTTCTCTGCAGGAGGATTTTCGACTCGTCCCTTTGTGCGAAGTGTCCAGCGCCAGAGCCTGTCATCCCGATCGTCTGTCACCAGCCCGCTGGCAGTGAGTGAGAACGGTGTCAGGCCCTCCTGGTCCCTCTCTGCGAAGCTGCAGCTGCGCTCCAACTCACCATCGCGCTTCTCTGGAGACTCCCCGGTGCACACCTCTGCTTCCACCCTGGAGAAGATCGGGGAGGCTGCTGACGATAAAGTCTCCACCTCCTGCTTTGGCAGCCTGAGGAACCTCTCTAGCAGCTACCTGGAGCCCTGCGATGGCAGTCGGCGGGAGCACAGGACGGCTCGCAGGGCTCCTTTGGCCGTCATGGAAGGGGCGTTCAGGGAAGAGGCTGTTGTAAGGACATCTAGCTCAGATCTTTCAGATGAGTATGGCAAAAGCTCTGTGCAGCCAGACAGGAATCACCCTGCTTTGGACCCTTTTGATAACAACAACCAAATCGCCTTTGTTGATCAGAGTGATTCTGTGGATAGCTCTCCTGTCAAGGAGGTGAAAGCCCCCGGTGGGACGGTGCTGGCTGCAGAGAAGGCAGATGGCACTCCTAAGAAGGTTCACAGCTCCAAGGGAGTTTCTGAGCCAGACAAAAGTTTGAGGAAGGGACGGACAGGCTTATCTACGCAAGAGACCAAAGTCTCTCATGCTTCTCCTCCTCCACTAAAGAGTGCCCAGAAAGTGTCCCGGTCTAGAAGTAAGACGGACTCCTCTAGGGCCAGCGGGCGCCATGGGTCTCCCGCTCCCACTCAGGCTAGGAGGGACCATAGCACGAAGCCCCTTGAGGTGGCTGTCCCATCGGCCCAGCAGAAGCAAAGGCCAGGTTCATCTCCATCCTCCACAGCTGCCAAGAGAACCCCATCGGGCTCATTGACTAAGGGCTCTTCTGCTGGGAAGAGCCGGACTTCAGACCGAAGCCTCAGCAGGGAGGGCTCTAAGCTAAGCCTGGGGTCGGATAAGACGAGCGTTACCAGCAGCTCGAGAACGAGCTCCCCGCGGATCAGCCACTCCAGGAGCGACAGCCGCGCCGTGGACAGCAAGCACGTGCGGAGCTCCTCCATGGCCAACCTGCGGTCTCCAAACGTGGGTGTGCGCTCCGCCCTGAAGAGGGACAGCAAGTCAGAGGAGAAGGGGCTGTCCTTCTTTAAATCGGCCTTAAGGCAGAAGGAGACGCGGAGGTCAGCAGACCTGGGGAAGACCACGATGCTCTCCAAAAAGACGGGGAGTGGCAGTTCCAAGTCAGGCAGTAAAAACGTGCTGGAAGATAAATCAGAGAAAGGTGTTGTCCCACCAGCCTCCCAAACCAATGCCAACCTTACTGCAAAAGAAAAACTTGTCCCTAAAGACGCTGCCCCCAGCAAACATTCTCTGCTACCCAGTCGCAAGTCCAAGTCTTCCCAGCTAGATCCCGGAGTCCAGTCTCCTCCTTCCAGTGGCAAGCAGGCTGCTGACAAGCCACTGAAAAGGTTACCTTCCAGCATGCAGGTGTCTGTACGGCCTTCTCTGGAACCTCAGTGAAATGCTGCAATCCAGGTGTCTTTTCTTCTGCTGAGAAGCTAATTTATTGAGCTCTTGTTTTTTTGTTCATGTGCCTAATGTCTGTTTTGAGGAGAAGTTAACTGCAAGTTGTTAAAGCGCCTTTTGATTCTGCCATCAAACCAAATAGCCACAGGCAGCCAGCACTGATGCAAGTAGTCTAGCTGGAGTCGTTGTTGAACATGAATGCAGCTGTCCCATAGCACTTGTACAGGAGTCTCTTTATAGAAAATGCACCAACTTCCTTCAGATTTGAGGTCTGGAATCTGAAAGGCAGTTGTACTGACACTAGTGTGCTTTGTAGAGCTGTGAACTGATATTCCTTTGGTCTTGTTCTGAGCAGGCTGTGTCCACGATGGTGTGGCCTTGTTCTGAGCTGGGGAGGATGCGAAGGAAACTGGGAAGGAGAGGCTGCCACTTCTTATGCTCTCTCTTGACCCCCTCTCCCTGCTCCCTTCCGTTTTCAAGCTTTCTAAAGGGCAATATTTCAACACTAATGTTGTTTCTCAGGTATATACTCAGCCAGTATAGGAGGGACTAGCATTAGTGGATGTGCAGAAAGGTACCTGTGTGTCCGTGTGTCTGTAACAGTTCATTTTGCATTCCAGCAGCTGAAAGTGGGTGGTTTTTGTTCCCTGAAATGTAACCTGCCTTTTTTGTTGCTATGTCTGCAAAGAGTTCAGCTCTGTCCATACCTGAGGCAACCTCTACCCTGTCCTCTTGAATTACTTTCTCTCTTCTGAAACACTGTACTGAGCAACAGAAGAAACCACTGAGCTGCAGCTGGGTGCCAGCTCCTGGTACTTGTGGGAGGTGGTGGCAGTGCCGTAGGAGAGCTGTCTTCCTGACCCTGGGGTGGGTGATGCTGTAGGACCCCTGTTCAAACTCCTGAGAAGCGTTTCCTGAAGTGCTTGGATGCTAAATCGTGGTGGTGTGAGCATAGCACCCGTTACTTGGAGCAGTGATGTTTAGGTAGGCAGTGTCATCTTGTCTTCGCCTTCTCTGAGCGTGCACTGAGACAGCCTCTTGTGAGGTTGGAGGGGCTGTACCAAACACCATGGGGCAGTTTTCGCCTCTCTTAGTGCTGCTGTGTCCCTGCCCTTGCGCACTCCTCACCTTCCCCTGTGGGTCTGGCTCCCACATGTCCCTTGGAACCACTCCCCAGCCTCCTGTGGATGAGTCTATCAGGGTTTGAACACTACATCTGGTGACGTCTTTGTTTACATGCCCTTCTTACAGGGGAGATTCCTCAAGTTCTTTATGATTCCTCCTGAAAGGTGGATTCCTCAGCTCCATTTGTCTGTGTGGTGTATTTATTTTTCTTTATCAGAGTGCTTCCTCTCCTTTATGTTCAGCAGCAATCCTGTGTAGGTCACGATGGGCAGTGTGCTGGGCGCGCTTGTCTTCTGAATGAGAGCTCTGCCTCTCATCCAGTGTGCTGTGGCAGAGCTTCCCTCGGCTTTGCTGGGGGACAGATCTGTTTGTGCATCTCTTCTCTTGATGCAGCAAACAGCCCTCAGCCAGGCAGTGACTGAGCTAGTCTGTGCCACTTCCTCCCTTGAGCTGATGTGCTGCGGAGCCCGAGAAGCCTTTCACCGAGGTCTGCTGGGCACCTTGCTGCTCTGTGATCACTTCTTGTACTCGGCTCACCACACATCTGCAGCAGGCTTTGGACGGCAGTGTTTTGGGGGAGCTGGCACCCCGGAGAACAGGCAGTGTGTGTGACAATGAGCTGGGGGTGCCGTGTGTGTGACAGTGAGCCCCCCTGCAGTGCAGCCCTCGCTCTGTCCTCGTGCCCTTCTGCAGCACTTACCTTCCTGCAGCCCAGCAGCATGCCAGCAGCCTGCATGTTTCACCAGCGGGCTGGCCTCTGGGCCCTGGACTGTATTTTTAAACCTGAACACAAGCATCTCTTGATGCATTTCTCCTCCCAGGCATTGTTTCAGTCACATTGCACAACAAGATTGCATTACTTGCTTCTTAACTGTGTGACTTGGATTATTCTTGGATTATTTTTTGTTACATCCAGCAGAGCAGATAAGACTTGCTTCACGTTGTAGTTCTTAAATTACTCCCTGAAATGTTGATGTTGGAGTATTTGCTTAAGGTTTTATCTGTATTAAGGTTGTGCTCTGTGTTGGCTCTTCTCTTCTAAAGGCTCTTGTAGCAAGAATGTAATTCTGGTAGCTGGTGCAGACTCGGGGTTGTCTTTTCCTGGGCACAGCCTGGTTCTCTGTGTTTTGCCATGGGACACTTGTGAAAGGTTCTTTTTATCAAATGACATTTTCTTTTGCTACCATCGCTCACTGAAGTCTGAAGTGGAAGCTGGTGTTTGGCTGTTGAGGTGGTTTTGCTCCCGTGCTGCATGCCTGGGCTGGAGGAAATCTGAAGCTGTGTCCAAACCAGGGCCTGAGCTGAGTGCCAGTTCAGTCTGTTTGCATCTGGGGCATGAGAACGGGCAGTAGAGCTCCCGTGTGGACAAAATGGGAATAGGAGGTACTGGCTTCCAGCAGCTGATGTTGAAAGCAGCGCAGAGCGTGCCCGTGCAGGACCTGTTCTCTGGCTGTGTCAGTCCTGTAGTGAAGCAGGTTGGAAAACAGCGTGTGCTGCCCCTCTGCATCCCTGCTTTTGGTATCACGCATTCCAGTGGTGCATGCACTGCCTTGCACAGGGGAGAGTTGAAAAGTGTGGGTCCAGGAAGCAATGATGTTCATTGTGTAGAGCCAAGCCTCCTTGCTGATAAAGTCATGGCTCCATCAGTGATGTAGAGTACATCTTTCTGAAACTGAATGTAGGTTATTGCAGTGATCTGGGAAAAAGCATCATCAATCTTCCCTCCTTGCTTTACAGCAGACTTACTTCGTAGCCCTTTCATGCACAGGAACTCCTGTCCATGTGCATTGTGTTGTCCAGATGTAAGGATGTGGCATGGTACCAGGGAACACTCCAGAGAGGGATCTTCCAAGTCCTAGATGCCAGCATCACCTTGGCTTTGTGCACTGATCCTTAGAGCAGCGAAGGCTCAAGGCTGTTGTGCAGCAGCCGCTTGTACACGGTCACCTCTTTTCTTTAAAACTCACATTTGGCTCCGGCAGCATTTTCCATTCTGCCCATCATGCACAGTGTGGGGCATGTGGAATGGCCCCTGGTGTGGCTGCCTTGGGGCTGGTGGAGCCTGGGACCCCCATCTGGTGACCTGGGGGCATAGGTTTGCTGGGTACCTCATGCTGGTGGGAAGATGCCTTCAAAGGGGGAGGCCCAGCAGCATCCTTGTGCTTGGAGTGCATGTGAGCTCCATGGGAAGGAGGCTGCCAGCCCTCTGAAGGGCTTTGTGATGCGTTTCTGATCAACTTCGGGTTGAGCTCACCTTCCTCAGCCACGTGTAACTGCCATCCCAACCGCATCCCTTGTCTGACACTTGCTCCTGTTCCTGGAAGTGGCCCGGGGGGTGCAGGGAAGCAGCATCTTCATCCCAGCGCCAGGTTCCTGCTGGAGCCACGGAGGGAAATTCTTTTTACCCTTTTCTGGGCTGTGTCTTTTGGATAGTGTTTAGTAGTATACAAATTATAAGCACATTTTCAACGACGTGTGTTAAAGAGGCACCTTTTATTTGTATTAATCACGTTTGATAGACAATTTGGTGCCTGCAGTTCTCTGTAACCTGTGTCTCACTTTGGGTGTATAAATTGTTAACCCTGTCAAACTTATCAAATATGGCTAAATAAAGAAAAAGGACGCTTAGAATAGACAATTAGCAGCTTAATTACAGAACACTTGTTCCACTGTAAGTGCCCTCATCGCCTCAGCTGCGGGGTTCTTTGCTTTCCAAACTAAAGCTGGAGCATGAGCACCCATCCTGTCTCAGCAGCGAAGCTGTGCATGGCAGCTCCCGCTTCCCACCGCATGCACTGGACTATGCAAGCGCTGCTGCAGGCACCGGCCGCGCTTCCTGGCTGGTGCCGGGCTCTGGGGCGCCGCTGGAGCCTGACTTGTGTTCGTGGTGTCGGCACATAGGAGCATGGCCCCGGGTTCCTGCTTTGTTTGCACATCTTTGATCCTTTCCTTCGCAGGCATTACTGAGCAGGCTGGAGTGTAGCACAACGTCAGAGGGATCCGGAGTGCTGAAACGAGAACAAACTGGTTTTCTGTCTCGTGTTGTTTTCTCTTTATTTAACAGGGAAACCCCATCCGTGCTGTGTCCGTAGCCTGCATTTCCCATGTAACCCTAAGGACACGTTCTGCACTGGGAGCACAGGATCTGCCTGTACCCGAGCCCCCAAACCCAGAGGTTTTGGTTGAGTTTCTGTGCTCAGAGTGTTGGGTGGGCTCCAGGTCCTGCTCCCCATGGGCTCTGTGCCCATCCCCTGTGAGCAGCCAGCACGGAGAGGGTTTGGAAACGACATTCCAAATAGTTTTCTTGTTTCTTTTCTTTTTTTCCTGTATTTCTATCATTTGCCTCCTAATCGGAAATAATTTGGCAGTATCTGATGTTATCTGTGGAGAGAACTGAAATTTAGTTTTAATCTGTGGTGAGCTGAAAGCACAACGTGGTTCTTGTCACAAAAGCACCCTCAAGCATTTACTATTAGGAGCTTTGTTTTGTAGAAGAAGAGCACCTCGGGACCTGCACCATGTCTACGTTGGGTCTAAAGGCTTAGGGAGTCTTCTGTTTCATTAAAGGCAGCAGCCCTCGCTGTGTCTGCAGCCAGTGTGTTCTAAAGACACAGGTTAAAACTAAGTGGAGACACCGCTCCCGGTTCACTGGAGGCCCTGCAGCACAAAACGCCATGCGAGGAGGTCGGTGTTAGGTGCGGGTGGCATTTGTGCAGTGCAATAAGAAACCATTTCTAGGTGCTACATTGCCTTGGGGGGGGGGGGGTGACACAAGGGAAGCCAGGCCACAAGCGGCTGGATTATCTTCTTGGGGCCTTCCAAGTGTTGGTTTGTCCAGGTTTGCTCACCAACTGTGCCTCACCATTGGTTAAAATTGAATTTTAAGTCCTGGTGCAAATGCAGTTTCTCTTCTGGACACAGTGTCAGGTTTTACACTGGAATATCTACAGTTCTGACGACTGCATGTCACGTCACTGTACCCCAACCTGGGCCGTGGGGCTCCCCATGCTTTGATATTCTCCTCTATTTTAGTGTTTTTGAGCTGTACAGTAATGGGGGAAGCAGGCTGGCTGTGCTCGGGACCCAACA